ATCCTGAATAATTGTAAACAAAAATATTTTTCCCATAATAAACACAATTCCACTGAGCAACAACACTACTAATGTAAAATAAAGACCCTTCTTTACACTAGTGAAGTGCAGTAGTGACAGGAGGGGAAAGGGTAGAACAAGGAGCTCAATCAATAACTGATTATGAAAAATCAATTTCGATAACTCACTACTTTCACACTAGCTGTAAGGTATTTAAAGGCTGAATTTGAATTTGTGGCCCACACAAAATATTGCAGTGTCCTACAACAGATGCCATTTGAGCTTTGGGAAAGAGAGCCTTGGCCTGACATCACAGTGCTGTGATGGCTTCCTTCCTACAGACAAGGAGCAGGAAAATTGAGAAAGTCACTACTGTAACCAGAAACAACATACTAATATCAAATATAAATTTGATAGTACTGCATCCATTACAGCAGTCTTCACATTCATGCCCAATTTCATTACAAAATTAGGATTGGAAACGGCTGGTATTCTGGCAGGTAGTTTTAGGGCACAATCAAAACCTCATGTCACCTGAGGTATTCTGAGCAAAATTCCAGATTGCCAAGAGCACCACCTAATTTGCCTATACAGTTACATATGTTTTCCACAAAGATAAAGAGTGAAACAGTGATATTTGCTTGCGTTTGGATATTACCCGATAAGTGGCTTCAAAGGACTTGTATTTTTTTCAATGTTCAAACAGTAGAATTCTGAGATCATCAGCTCTGTATTTGCTTTCTGGTCTGAGGGAAAAGTTGACCTTATGTTGTATTTAATTGCTCTGCCCACAGCACTTAAGGATTATTTGTAGCACATGTACTTTAAAAAACATTACCACCAAAACACTTAAAACAATTGCAATATGATAGTGATTGTCACATCTTTGCTGTGTAGAAGTTCAAATGCAAAAAATTTATGATTGACCCTTTCGATGGTTACATATTGAATAATATCCAAGGTAATAATTATCCTTTAAGTATTCTATGTGCTTAGCCTTTTCTCATGTACATATGCATTGTCAGCAATACCGTCAGTCAACAGAAATTAGGAAGCATTACTTTGTCATGTGCACAAGGCACACATTGATAAACGGGACATGGCTCCTTGAGAATCTTATAGTTTTCTAAGGGAGAAAGAGAACTAATCAATTAAAATACAGCACGGTAATTGAGTATCATGAGCATTTGGGAAACTACAAATCTCTTAGTATGACCAGGGCACAGGGCTTAACATGAAGTATTATTAGAGCTGTACATGATAGTATAAGATTAGGAGGCATTATTGAAGGCCCAATTCTAAAGTATGATTTTGTAATGATACAAATCTAAATACTGTACCATAGCCATGCCATTCTAATTGTAATCGTTCTGGTTTTAACAGATGATGTAACTGGGGCTTAGAGACTTTTACCAAGCCAACACTGTTGAGCATTTTGTTTCACACAGAACAATGGCTCCCCAAATATATCTATATCATAATCCCTGAAACCTGTAAATATGTTTCCTCACATGACAAAGAAGACTTTGGAGATTAAATACATTTATTGAGATGGGAAGATTATCCAGGTGGGCCCAATAAGAGGGAGGCAGAAAAGTCAAGAGTCAGAGAAGGAGGTGGAACAAGAGAAGCAGAGTTCAGTGTGGCAGGGAAGGATCCCCACAGCAAAGAAGGTGGGCAATACTAGAAGCTGGGAGAAGCAAGAAAGTGAATTCATCCTAGAACCTTCAGAAGTAAGACAGCCCTATGGACACCTTGACTTCTATGCTCTAAGATAATAAATGTGCATTGTCTTAAGCCAGCAGTATGCCAGCATTATTATAAGTGCTTTGCACGAATGAAATAATTTTAGCCTCACTAACATGAGTCAAGTACTGCTTTTTATTATATGTGGTCTTCACAACAACCCTTAAAATGTAGCTACTGGCTGTCTACCCATTATGGAAGTGTAGAAACCAAGATACAAAGAATTAAAGTAATATGCCTAAGGCCATACACTTAATCATCAACAAAGCTTGAGTTTGATCCCAGGCAATCTAGGGTACATCTTGACTTGAAGTGTCTTCTTTTCCACATTCACACACTCACACTTATTATATGTCAAAGACAGTGTCTTCATCTGTGTTTTCCCCTGAAAAAGCAGAGCCTAAGAAAAGCTTTCATGTGCAAGTAGTTCATTTTGAGTATTGATCCTAAGAAACAGGAATAGGGGACTTGGATTAATGAAAATAGAAGAAGGAGAAGCCAGTCCAAGGATTTATGAGCAAGCTGTACTCATTGATAACTAGGGTCTCATTCCACAAGATAATGTCTAAGGAGTGTGGAGATGGCATCTCAGAATTGCCTACTCAAGGAACAGAAAAGGGAAACATTTATTTGCCAGCTTTTATCTCCCATTGATCCAACGTTCTGTACTCAGTGTTAACTTTTCACACTTTCAGGGCTACATATACACCAGATGAGATGAGTGGGTTTCTAAGGTCTTCAACTTGGAGGGAGCTGAGAAGCCTCATGGTGATAGATACTAAATTCAGTCAGGGTGAGGATCTGTCAAGTTACACCTGCCCCAGTTGAGTGCTCTGGCAATAGCTGGAGAAATAACTGTGAGCTGTAAAAACATAAGAGCATCAGCGGGACATGGTGGCTCACACCTGTAATCCCAGCGCTTTGGGAGACCAAAGCAGGTGGATCACCTGAGGTCAGGCATTCAAGACCAGCTTGCTTAACATGGTGAAACCCCATCCCTACTAAAAATACAATAAATTAGCTGGGTGTGGTCGCAGGAGTCTATAATCCCACTACTCGGGAGGTTGAGGCAGGAGAATCACTTGAACCCAGGAGGCAGAGGTTGCAGTGAGCCAAAATCATGCCATTGCACTCCAGCCTAGGCAACAAGAATGAAACTCTCTCAAAAAAAAAAAAAAAGAAAGAAAGAAAGAAAGAAAGAAAAAGAAAAGTAAGAGCATAAAAGGAGTCTAACACAGCTGGTCCTTGGATTTCAAAGTCCAAATTTTTTCCATTGTATCATGATGCATCTCCTCAAGTAATCACTTGTTTTTGCACTAAGTTCTGACGTCTCGAAAGATTAGGTTTCTGCCATGATAGTGACCAATAAAACATACTGTTCTTGTATATCCCATGAAAGGTAGATAATGCGGTTTTATATGGATTACTTTTGTCTCACTAAATGAATATCAAATTTCTAGAAAGTGGATATAGTAACATTTACCACTTTTGTTCTTTTCACAATATCCAATTCAATAATGGACTTAAAATAGGAACACAAAAAATATGCACTGATTAGTACTCATTTGAATTTCAACCTTTCAGATATTAGTTTTATTAGTAATTACTGCCAAAATGTAAATAGCCCCACTAGGGATTTTAGAAAATGCTTTCTTCATGTTTTAACACACCTTTCAAATCTGTTGTCATTCTTTCTTCTTTTAATAGCTTAATGCTTTTCATCCAAATAGAGCATATAATTTGACTTCTGTCATTAGACAAGAGAATTACCAAGGACCAAACCTAGAAATCCTGAAAAATGTTTCTGTCCAAATGGATCACACAATTCAAAATGAACAAAGTAAAGTTTTAAGAAATTCTAAGTATAATTACGTATTTATATATTTGTCATTTTTATAGAGAATACATTTTATCAATTGGACAGCATATACAGTACAACAAACCATACAAAGAATGACAGCATTATAGTGTGGGTTAATATGGTTATGACTCTATGTTATTAATTTGAGGCCAATTACATAGATATAATAGAAACTAAATAGGTTGTGATATATTATTATTTTATGTATCTGGCCAGTAAGTGAAAGCCAGCCAAGTATTTTGTAACTTAGCAGCATAGGGAACTATCTCAGGATATAGCACTCTTTATTTACCTCATCTCAAAGGCAAAAACATTTCCATGAAGAAATATCCATACTAAAATAAATACAGAAAGTAGATTTTGTTGGATATAATTATTTGAATTTGCTTGATATTTTTCTATCTTTTCTTGGTTATAAGACCTGTGAAAATGGTGTTTTAGTTTTGGTATAAAATAAGGCAAAAAAGGTTCCACTGGGAATCACCATCATTTGTTATCACAAAAATTAAAATTAAGTATTACACTAAAAATGTCTGCCATTTGGAAGACAGTAATCTGCAAAATTGACTATAGCACAATGAAAATTTATTCTTGAGTATGGTTTTGTTTAATGGATAATTGTATGTAAGTAATTTTCTATACATATGTATCATACAGTAATTACTTTTGATAATCACTATTTTAAAGTCATTTAAAGTTATAAATAACATTAAAAAGTATTATTTTTCACTTTATCTGTATTTAATAGAAAAGTTTCTTAGAGCATAATTCTAGAAAAGTATTACAAAAAAAGTTTTTTTATGTAATTAACACTTGGTAAGGATAAATCATATACTTAGAATTTTGGAGGTTTAGGATTGTGTGAGACTCATTAATCATGATCAAGTGCACCTTGAAAAAAACATTCTATGCCAATGAAAAGAACTATTCAACTATGGTAATAAATCATCAATTCACAAGGAAATGTGGAAGTCTCAGTTTTTATGGGCTCATTGGAAAGACCTGCATGCCATAAACATATATATTTGGTGTTTGGGGTTACTGCTTTTAAAAATACGGGGAAAGAACAAAAAACAATATGTCAAATCAAAAAGATAATACAAGGTTCCAAATTTTTAACATCATAGATTCATAAGCTTCTTAAAAAAGGCATGAATCTTTAAAGATGGATCTTTGGAGGCCCAATACAAATAATAGAGAAAAGAAATTTAAAACCTGTTTATTCAAAACAATCCTATATTTGAAATATGATATACTTAAAAATTAAGCATTTTTTTTACTATTTCATTAGGAGACAAGTAACTATCACACTGAAGTTTCGAGTTGCAAGTTATATGTAGAAGCTTTCTATTCATACTGATGCTATTTTTTTTTTCACTCCTTAGCATCTTCTATACTTTGAATATATCCCCCTAAAGGCCAGTGCTGGAAACTTGAACCCCAATGCAATAGTGTTGGAAGCTAAGGCCTAATGAAAGGGGATTAGACCATGAGGGCTCCATCCTTATCAACTTATGGCAACTTATGGCAAGAGTGTGTTCATTATAAATGGGCAAGTTTTGCCCTCTGCTCTCTGTATTGCCCTCTCTCATCTTCTCTCTTACTCTTTTGTCTTTTCCATAGGGTGCCACTGCAAGAAAGGCCTCACCACATGCTAGGCCCTCTATCTCAGACTTCCCTGCATTCAGGACTATGACCCAACAAATATCTGTTCATCATCAATTACTCCACCTCAGGTATTCAGTTATAGTAGCAGAAAACAGACAAAAATAACATCCTATATTTTCCATGTTCCTACAGTGCAATTTCAGAGAACGGCTTCCAATTTCTAAACACCAGTGAGCATGTACTAGAAAGTAATACTCAGTCAATCTTCCGGAATGCTGGGAACACCAGGTAAAATGTGTGAAACACAACATACAGCAGCTTACCCTTTACTGGCCCATATCTGGCTGGCTGAAATTACAACATGACATTTATCTTGCAGGAATATTGTCTCTACCATCTGTGTCAAATAATCCAATTACTAACAGCAGTAAAAGGTATGCAACTAATATCAGGAATGATATTAGACCATGAACAACCTTAGGTCTGTCATATTGGGAAGCAAGACCAAAAGAGGAGATCAAAACCCAAATAAATGTAAAACAGAAACCTTCACAACACGAAGACTTAGCCATCCAACATCCCATCCAATAACTAAAATAAACAAAGCATCCATTTATCATGTTACAGTGTCTGGAATTCTTACTGGCATAGTTTCTGACAGTTTTCGGAGATATTTCCTTTGTTCACTCACACCAAATAATCTCAAAGCAGATGGATGATGATCAGCCAGGATTAGGTAGAAATATTTATTCCCATTAACCTGTTAACAGATAAATATGTCAGTAATGCCATGTAGTACCATTTGATTCAAGGGAATAGAAAGACATAATTCTTCAGTTAAAAAATTTTCCAGTACATGTTATTTGTTCTTTTAAAAGCATATTTTCTTTTCAGTATAGATATACTTTCATCACATACTTTTCTTCCAGAATGTACTTGAGGGTTGTTTTTCAAACTTCCTATTATAATTATTTGCGGGTTCTCAGCTGAGTGGTGTGCTGAAATCCCAGAAGGAAAAAACATGGGCAAAAGGAAGAAAGTGGGGACAGAGCCAAGGGTAAGAGATAAACCCTGCTTTAATGATAACCTGAGTTAACTTGGCCAACAGCTCAAATCAAAATGTACAAAGTAGTTTTGTAAGCTAAGTTCAGACTGGGCCTTCACTGGTCAATGGACACTGTTACATGAGGGTAACCCAGGCTTTTACAAGACTACAGTCAGTCACGGGGGAACTGGAAGGGATGGCTGTTACTCAGGAAATGTAGGGGAAGAGGCCAAATCTACAATGGTCTCTGCAACAGAAAGTAGGGTCAATGGATCAAGTCCATAATATGTCTGTGTGTGTACTCAACATGAAAACAGGACATCAAAGGCCTAATTTTAGATGAAGAGTCTGATATTTTGGTTAAGCCCACAGAGTGAACAAAGTCCAGCATTTAGAGAGTCCCTAAGGCCATTGTAGGCCCAGAGTGTTTTGTGAAAGGTGCCAGTCTGGAGGGCAAGAGCAAATACACAATTGATTTCTTAAATTGAAATAATGGAAAAGTGACAAAGATCCAGAAGTAGGTTTATTAGGGTTTACCTTGAATCTTATGATATTCAGGGACTCCTCACCTGCACAGACCCCTTCTACAGATATAGGAGGAAGCCTAGCAATATGTTCCTGTGATCATAGGTTTCTGGAATATTTACCAGTATAAAATAAAATAATTATAACATCAGAAGAAACTTGGAAAGACCCTTAGATTAGGAATGTCTCACTAAATCAAGTGAGGAAAAAAGGACTTCTGATAGGAAGAGTGCTTTCTTGTATTGACATATTTAATAAAAATAATAAAGGAGCTTACTCTGTGACCCAGGCTGCAGTGCACTGGTGTGATCATGGCTCATTGCAGCCTTGACCTCCTAGGCTCAAGCAGTTCTCTCACCTGGGCCTCCTGAGTAGCTAGGACCACAGGTACATGCTGTTATGCCAGGCTTTTTTGTCGTTGTTGCAGAAATTGGGTCTCACTGTGATGCCCAGACTGGTCTCAGACTCCTAGGCTTAAGCAAATCACCCATCTTGGCCTCCCAAAGTGCTAGAATTACAAGCATGAGTTTTACACCATGCCCAACCAAGAGTTTTCTATCCTCTCTAAATTTATCTTTTAAAAACTTTCTATTGTTTTTGTATACACAAACCTATGATAGAATGTCTCCCAGTTTTACAGTAATCTTAAAAACTGATGAAAAATAATGAATTGGTCAGATAAGGGTTTTTTCTAAACTTTTGGTAACATATACTTTCTAAACTATCAATATACATCGTTGGCAGTTTAGAAAAACCTCTTTCAGAAATATATATATATATTCTTTTTGTGTATATATAATTAACCACACTAGAGGAAGTATTGGGTTATCCTTCCATTCTCTCTGTTGTAAACATAACAAAAATTGTTTTCATTTAAAGCATAGGCAGGCCAAAAAATGTAAGAAACAGTACATATATATATATATATATATATATATATATATATATATATGTCAGGCAGTTAATTAATGAAATATTATGTTATATTCATGAATTTGTGATGATTATAATGATTTTTGTTTTCTTAAGTTAGTTACTTTTTGTAGTTTCTTTTTTATTCTAAATAATTACTTTATACCTAACTTTTAAATATGTCAACAGATGCAGAAAAAGCTTTTGATAAAATTCAACCTCCCTTCATGATAAAAAAACCCTCAAGAAACTAGGCATTAAAGGAACATATCTGAAAATAATAAGATCTATTTATGACTAAACTACAGCCCAACATTATACTGAATGGGCAAAAACTGGAAGCATTCCCTTTGACACGTGGAATAAGACAAGGATGCTCATTCTTAACATTCCTATTCAACATAACACTGAAAGTCCTTACCAGAATGCTCAATCAAGAGAAAGAAATAAAATGTATATGAATAGGAAAAGAAGAATTCAAAGTACCTCTCTTTACTGGTGATATGATTCTATACCCAGAAAACCCTAAAAATTCCACCAAAAGGCTCCCAGAACTGTTAAACAACTTCAGTAAAGTTTCAGAATCAAAAACAATATAAAAAAATTACTAGCAGTTCTATACACCAATAATGTTCAAGCTGAGAGCCAAATCAAGAACAAATCCCATTTACAATACCGCAAAAAATAAAATTTCCTAGAAATACAGCTAACCAAAAAGGTGAAAGATCTTTATAAGAAGAAATACAGAACACTGCTAAAAGAAATAAAAAATGGCACAAACAACTGAAAAAACTTTCCACGCTCATGAGTTGGAAAAATCATGGCCATATTGCCCAAAGGAATCTATAGATTCAACAGTATTCCTATTAAGCCACTAATGCCACTTTTTACAGAACTAGAAAAAGCTATTCTAAAATTTATATGAAACCCAAAAAGAGCCTGAATAGGTACAGCAATCCTAAGCAAAAATAACAATGCCTGAAGCACCACATTATCCAACTTCAAACCATAGTATAAGGCTACAGTAACCAAAAGAGCATGGTTTTTGGAAAAAACCATGAAAAACAGTCATATAGACCAATGGAATAGAATAGAGAACTCAGAAATAAAGCCACACTCGTATGTCTGTCTGATATTTGACAGTCAACAAAAACAAGCAATGAGGAAAGGACTCCCTATTCAATAAACAGTGCCAGGATAGCTGCCTAGTAACATGCAGAAGAATGAAACTGGAACCCTATCTTTCACCATATACAAAAATTAACTCAAGATGAACCAAAGATTTAAATGTAAGACCTCAAATATAAGACTCCCTAAAGAAAACCTAGGAAAAACCATTCTGGTCATTGGCCTAGGAAAATAATTTATGATTAAGTCCTCAAAAGCAATTGCAACAAAAACAAAAATTAGTAAGTGGGACTTGGTTAGACTAAAGAATTTCTGCATAGCAAAAGAAACTCTCAACAGAGTAAAAGACAACCTACAGAATGGGAGAAAATATTATCAGACTATGCATCTGATAAAGATCTAATATTCAGAATATAAAAGGACCTTAAATAATTGAATAATTTTTAAAACCCATTTTAAAAAATGGGCAAAAGACATGAACAGAGAGTTCTTGAAAAACCTACAAGTGGCCAATAAACATATGAAAAAAATATTCAGCATCACTAATCATCAGAGAAATGTAAATCCAAACCAAAATGTGATAGTATCTCATATCAATCAGAATGGCTATTATTAAAAAATTAAAAACAACAACAACAAATGCTGGTGAGGGTTCAGAGAAAAAGGAATGTAAATTAGTTCAACCACTGCAGAATACAGTTTGGAGATTTCTCAAAAAACTTAACACAGAACTACCATTCAACACAGAAATCCCATTACTATATATACATCTGAAAGAAAATAAAGTATGCACCTGTATGTTCATCACAGTGCTATTCATTATAGCAAGGATATGTAATCAACCTAGGTGCCTACTAGTTGTGGACTAGATTAAAAAAAATTGTGTGTATACACCATGGAATACTATGCAGTCATTAAAGAAGAATGAAATCATTCTTTCAAGCAGCATGAATTCCGCTGGAACCAATTATCCTAAGTGAATTAATATAGGAACAGAAAACCAAATACCATACGTTCTCACTTATAAGTGGAAGCAGACAGTGGGTACTCATGGACATAAAGATGGTGAAAATATACAATGGGGACTACTGGGGGAAAGAGAAGAGGGAGGGGAAAGAGTTGAAAACTACTGGGTACTAGTCTCAGTACCTAGGTGATGACATCAATCATACCCCAAACCTTAGCATCATGCAATCTATTGCATATTTCTATAATAAAATCTGAAATTATTTTTAAAAACGAAATGAACAACCAGCAACTTGGAAGGAACAAAAAAAAATGGCACAAGCACCACAAAGAAGCAGTAAACCAAAAAGGTGAGAGTTACCAGACTTTAGACTTTAGCCAATGACTGATGCTTACAATGATAGAAAAGTGGAGTGTGTGACTCAGGAATGAGGATCCCTTTCTAGTTCTCAGACCGTCTTTCAACACGGAGAGATGGCTGAATGCTGTTGTATAAAGGTACCTAAGTCATCCCAGCAAAAGGTATCCCATTTTTAGGGTAGGAATATAAATTCCAAACTTCACCAGAGACTTTGCAATGTAGAAGCCCTCCTTTCATCAACAATATTATAAATCACAATTGGTTGATTAATAAGAAAAAAATAAAATAAATTGGTGACTCATAAATATGAGACACATTTTCAACATTTTACTATAATTTGCAATGTCTAAATATGCATTTAATGATCAGTTATTTGATATAGTGTCAAAGGATTTCCTCTGAGTATAGGTCACTGATTATATTCCTATATGTAATAGTGAGTTCCATATAAAATTGCCAACTTTCAACCACTTATGATTTTAAAAGATGGGAATTTCATAAAGTTCATCTGGACCTACAAAACAGCAATTTTTATGCCTTGCATCTAATTTAATTCTTGACACTTTGATTTTTGCCATCTTTAAAACACAGTAAAGTTACTTTTCTTAGAAAAACTGACCTTAGATTTTCTTATATAGGTTAGCTGGTACTTCTGTCTCACAGCTCTTAAGATTCTTTGCTTTGCCTTAACTTTGGATAACCTGATGACAATGTGCCTAGGCGAAGATTTTTTGCAATGAATTTCCCAGCTGTTCTTGTGCTTCCTGTATCTGGATAAAGAACAGAAATAGACAATGTAAGGTCACACCTCAAGGAACTGGAGAAACAAGAACAAACCAAACCCAAATCCAGCAGAAGAAAGGAAATAACCAAGATCAGAAACAAACAAACAAACAAAATATATATATAAAAGAGAAATTAATCTGCTTCCTAAGGAATTTGTGTATGAAACAACTGATTTTTTTCAAATAAGTACATAACATAAAAATTTACAGGAGAAAAGGTGCACAAAAGTGTCAAAGAGGAGTTGGCTTGCAGGAAGCTTGCAGGTTCTCTGAGCCATCATCAGTATGTTTTACAGAGAACACTGACTAATTGACAGGTCGGTTAGGAGACCAGTGAAGAGATCTCTTGCCAGAATTGGTCAATATTATCTCCAGCATTGGAGGAAATTGAGCGTGGTTGGCAAAGGTTTCCGTTTTCAATTTCTTTGGAGTCGGGAAGCCTAGGATTGGCAGTTTCATGTGAACACAAAGGCCAAACAATGGAACCAATTAATTTGATTCTCTCATTCAATGATAGACATCATCCACATGGTAATCTAGTTCACCTGTGAGGTGTGTCCACGGTGTGAGGCAAACTCCTAAGTAGCCCAAGGATAGATATCTCATTATGATACTAATCTCACCATAAACTGTGTGAGCACAGAGTATTTCCAATTTACTGTATCTTTCACCTTTTTTATTTTCCTTAGCTCTTCTCTTTAAAAGTTAATTGAAAAGTATAAAACATATATTAAGGTGGAAAATCATTATGATTCAAAAAAGTGAGAAAGTCCAGGACACTTAGAGATATATATTGTATTCACAAAGAAATGTACACAATTTTCATGATCAATCCAATTAGTTATGTGTGTATTAAGTTTTCTTTGTAAGAAAAAAAACAGAGTTAAGGCAGAGTTTTGCTATTTCCACAGAGTTCTAGGCCTAGCCCCATCTCCATACTCTCTGAAGAGATGGTATAACAACCCCAACAGAATATTTTGACTGTTTATCTGAGAGGGCAAGAAGAATCTAAGGGCTGAAACATCACCTTATGACCGACACTCCGCAATGAACAAATCAATTCAATATATATTTTGCTGTAGGATCAAAGTTGGAAGTCACTGACTTCAAAATCCTAATATCAGTCATTTCTGCTTTTGCCAGCAAGCAGATATATCCCTGGAGTCCAGCCCCTCAGGTGTGAGCACATCATAATATAAAAATCTGTCAAAATCTCTAGTTTTCTATATGGAAAAATAAACCCCAGAAGCCAAATAACTATCCGTCAGTGTTACACCATATCTTTGACTTTGCTACAGACTATAGGTATTACTAGCAATTTCTATGCCTACCAAATTAAAGTAGGAATCCCAAAGAAACCAGTTCACTTCCATGTATCTTTACTGAATTGAACAAACAGCCTACCTAAGCAAAATAATGAGACACATAAGAACCAGCATATATTTTGAAAAGAAATTCCCCCAGGGCTTAGCTAATTACTATCTTAAAACAACTACCTCTATTCAGATGCCAATCGAAAGATTAAATCAGTGGCTATGACCATATTATTTGCCTCTTAACACTACAGACAATGCGTCTGCGGTTACTGTACTAACAGTAGGATACCAAGAATCCTGTGGAGCATTCTGTAGAGGATGATGCTTTGAGGGAACACAGCTGCTTTCAGGGGGAGAAAAACTGCAGATTTAAATTTCAGAATGCTTTCCTTTGGGCCATTTTGTACTTGTGAGCAGAAAGTTCACTCTCTTATTCTCTCCTTCAGTGTACACACACACACACACACACACACACACACACACACCCTTCATACTAATGCAATCATTACCAAACCATGATGGGTGGTTTCTGCAAGTCAGATGTTGTCTTGACTCATGACCAATTCAAATAACTGAAGTAAATCCAGACAACAATTTTACACCATAAAGGGGGAAAAGAAAGAGCTTTTATTTCTCTATGTGTTTCTCTAGCGTGCCCAAGCAAAGTGTATATATAGAATATGCACAGACCAGGTGAGAAACTTTTCTATATAGTAGTTTTTAATGTTTATTTTACATCAAAATAAGAATAAGACTTTTTCATGTAGAGAAAGGGAAGAAGGCATACGAAGCAGATGCAAAGAAAGGCCAAAGAGCAATAAACAATTGGGGAACAGCACATCAGCTCCTCCAAAAGGCTATTGCTGTTGGAGCAGCCACATGCATTTTCCTTCACCCTATGTAGTCCACAACACAGACAAGAAGCCCACAGGCACCCCTGCACTTGGCACAGATCCTTGAAATGCCCACACCTACCTTTCACCAAGGCCAACCTGTCATCCACAGCAGCTGAAAACACATTCTCAGAGGGAAGTTTTAAAGATTAACTAAGTAACCGAAAGTACCAAACATTCTAAATATAGACCATTACAAAATGGGACAGTATTACCACATTTTGTGTGTCCCCATTTACAGTTCCCCAACAAAATCTTACTTTGTCAGACCGTGATGCCTTTCTGCATCCCATTCCTACTGGGGCAGTGTTCCTCTTCAGGCTTCTACCCAGACAGGTCCTGTCTTCCTTGTGCTCCTTGCTGCGGTAAAACCATTCTTCACTTCTGCTCTTTACTCCTCGGGCAACCTAGCCATACCACTGTTTATGTTGCATTGTAATGTCTAATATTGATTTTTAATTTTTCCCTAAATCTGCCCATCCACCCCCACCCCAGATTATGAGGTTTTGAAGGACAGAGAGTGACATTTATTCTTTTTCTGTCCCTGGTGCTTAGTACAATACCTGGCAGACAGCAGATTCCCAGTAGATGTGTGACAGATGAATAATCTCTAGTTTGGTTGTTCTTTGTTTCTTTTTCTCTTATTATGATTTGGGAAAACAGGTTTCTTACTTTATGAGGGTGATGATATTTATTAATGTATAAAGCTTTATCTCCTTCTATTTCTGTTCCATCAAGGGTTGACTTGTGAGTGACCAGGTTAATTTCTCTACTGTACAGCTAGCAGAAACCTCTGATATTCCCCCCACAAGGAGTGCCCTTGGAATCGTCTTTTTTTTTTGGTACAAAATCACATTTTGGTCTCACTTCTAATTCTTACCATCCCTCTTGATGATGAGATGGTAACCCTAATTAACCTTAATTTCACCATATATTACTTCAGAAAATATATCTCTTGTCTAAAGGATCCTAATATCCTTCTCAAATAAACATGAACACACACACACACACACACACACACACACACACTTCCTTTGAGTTATTTAAAGAGTGACCAATATCAATGGCAATTCAGTCCCAGAACACAAGTTTGGCTTCGTAAATTAGTCACAGAGTGACAAGGAGTCTTTTCCCTCTCAGGTGAGAAACCTGTTCCTTATGGCAAGAAAAGAAGTCCAGGGGTTGTTTTCTTTATATTATGTATTTTCCTAGCAGTTTTATATATATTCCTTCTTTTAACTTTATAACACGTGCTTTATTTTATCTTTATTCACCCATTTCACAATTTAATTTTAACAAATAACTAATAGAAAGAAACCATGATTAAAAGGAAGTCTAAACCAACTACTTGATCTCCTGACCTTGATTCATGTTTTCACAAGCACTGCATTTACATCGGTTTTAAAATGTTCCAACAATTTTAGTTCTAACTTTGAGCATATTACTATGTTCACTTAGAGTGAACTTTTCTATCCAAATTAAATCTTCTGAGTTTTGCATAGTCAGTAGTAAGACCTCACATAAAAAGCTTGGCAGAAAAATTCTCTTAATGTCTAGTGCTGAAGTTTGGAAAGCGAAGGACACAGCAAAAGGTAGGAAGGCAGAGCAAGAACCTAATGGCAGCGTCACAGGCAGAAAAGAATCATGGTTCAGAGCGCAGATTCCCAAAGCCAGACTGCCGAGGTCCAAATTCTACAACTGTAGGCAAGTTACTTAACACTCAGGTTCCTTATCTATAAAATGGTAATGATAACAGTATTTCCTACTTCATAGGGTTATCTGTGAGGATTAAATGAGAGTATACATACTTAAAATATTTTAACTGGTAATGAGGTAAGCACTAAGTATTTACTATTATAAATATTATTATCAGTAATATTCTCACCAAATATAAGTATCAAGCCTCTGAGTTAAAAATTATTTTAACTGAAATGCAGTAATTGACCTTACTGTGACTGATGGCATCCCTGAAGAGTCAATCAATCAAAAGCAGGCCATGTAGTTTGCTTTATCTTTAAGGCAAGCTGCCATGGGTTTTAAATTTAAAGAAAAAACAATCACGGATAGATGCATATCTAAAATAAACTTACCCTTCTTAGTTTCATAATTCTTAAATTACAGCTAGCGTATCTAACAAATACTTATTATATGCCTGCTATGATATCAAGAGGTGTGGACAAAAAATGCAATATATTACATGATTATTTTTCTCAACAAATTTTGGAGAAAACTCAGCTTATAGGTAGGAACTGGTACAATAGAATTTCTGAAGAAAGATCTAGAGGGAAAGACTCTAAGGATAATAGAATGGGCTTGAATTAATCTTTGAAAGGTAGAGAAAGTTTAAGTCAGAAAAGAAAAGGAGGAGGCCTCCCAGGCGCACTGGATAGTTTAGGCAATAAGCAAGCTCGCAGGGATACATTCTCATTGGTTAGGAATGAGTGACTCAGTTAAATGAGACATTGAAGGGACTGGCAGTGTGAGTGCAAACCCAGGCCCTGGGATTGAGGTTAGATTTTATGTGCCTCCATGTTTCTCTTCAAATTGGAAATGTGTTTTCACTGTATATGAAAGGGAAGGAGATGCTTTGATAGATGGCACTCTTAAAGAGATGTCAAGGCTTCATGGAACAACCTCAAATACCATCCAGTTCTCTTGATACCTTGTGCCCTGGTTCCTTTTCTTCCTTGATGTTAAATCACTATGGAAATTTGCATGAAAAGGGGATCTTTGTTTCTCAGAGTTCATCTGCTCTAGTAGCCATTTACTCTTCACT